TTTTAATTTAAAAATGCCAAAACAAATACTTGCGTCATTCTAAACATTTTTGCAAACAGTAGTATATATCTATGGCAGCGGTTCTCAACCTTTTGACTAATGTGTACCACCTAAACAAAAATTGAAAACTTTTAGTACCACCACTACTCTTGAACAAAGCTCAGATCGCATAAATTTAGGAGTGTTAAGAGAAAAAAACTTTTTGATCCCCGGCTGAGCAAAGTTGACTCAGCCTTTCATCCCTTGGGTTGATAAAATGAGTACCAAGTTTGCTTGGGGTCTAAACACTGGGGAGGGGGGCCTGCGACAAGCTGACCAATTATTCAGGGCATATGCTTAACACACCCTGGGGCCCATGGTAAAAAAAAGCAGATTTTGAGTGTTCCACCACTGATTTTAGTTTTTAGTGACCAAGGACTGCAAAAATACAGATTGTGTAAGAACTTTTGAGGATGCGGTGTATGCAGAGAAGTTATTTTAAATTCAGGAAAAGCCTCCACTTTTTGTTGTTGTATAGAACTTTCTCAATATAATGCCTAATGATAAATAGGATTCCCGTTTAGATATTGTTATGAATTTTTTATAGATGTAAATAATTTTAGTGAAGTTATATATGTATAAAATTATAGTATCTTTTGTAAACTATCTACTAATAAGTATTTGGACACCTGTGATAGAAAAACAAAATTTACTCAGATTCAATAGCTAGTAGAGCTTCCACGAGCACCAGTTACAGCCTCAACCCTCCAGGGCAGGCTTTCCACAAGTCCTTGTATGATGGCTATTGGAATTTTTTTCAACTTGGCTTGGAGAAGACATGTTAGTTCCTTCACAGTTATTGGACAATTGATTGCACCCCTTAATTTGGCGATCTAACTCATCCTACAGGTTCTAGATAGCGTTCAGGTGTGAGCTTTGAGCAAGTCAGTCCATTCGGTTAACCCCTTTGTCTTCATACCAATCCATGGGAGACCTTGCAGCATAACAGCTGGCGATGTCGTCTTGAAAGTAACATAGGTCCAACCAGTATAAACTACCACAACGTAGGAAGCACACTATCATGCAAAATAGTTTGGCAGATATTGGGTTCAGTTAACCATGAATTTGGACCAAATTTCAGTTCATACCAAGAGAAACACCTGCAGATCATAATTCCACTTCCGACAAAGTTTATTGTGGGCACTATTCATTCTAGCAGGAGGCGCCACACAAAGACCCTGCCATCCAAGTGGTAGAGGGTGAATCTTGATTCCTAGGTCCAGAAAACTTGTTTCCGATAATCGATGGTCCACTGTCAGTGTGCTTTTTATCATCGAAACATTGTAGTTGGACTTTTTGACCAAAGGTTTATGGGCAGCAGCACGGCCACGAAAACTAAGCAGTTGTGCTTTCTTACGAATGGTATTTATCGAAACAACATTCCCGGTTGCCTGTTGAAATTCCTGGAGTATGTGGGACATTGGTAGGGTGTGGTTATTCCGTATTTCTGTGGACATCACCTGCTGGTCCGTCTCCCAGTTTCGTGGTCTGCCGATTCAAATACATTCTGTTAATCACCACTCACCTTCCACTTCTGAATCACATAGGACACTTTCAAATTTGGTTAATTCAGTTCACTAGATGTGCCCCTTAAGGATCAAACATTTTTGTGATGCCAATGATTACACCTTTCTCGAAATTCTGCACTGCGTGGCATCTTGCATGCCACTAATGCCAATGCTGTTTTCTATATGATATTTAATGGTGGAAGGCATGATGCATATCAGGACCGCAGATATCGGAATTTGCATGGGTGTCCAAATATTTTTTAGTAGATAGTGTATAACAAACGTAGCATGAAATGCCTCCAAGAGTGAAGCTTTGCTGGAAGAATAATATTATAGGGGTAAGTCCATTTAACATTGAGATAAATGGATATCTCGCCAATGCCAAGCCTGCAATGTTACTAGCAACTAATTTTTGTGGCCAAACTTGGCAACATATTGGTCCAATTCCTGTATGACTATAATTTGTCTGATTCCTATATGTAACTGTAACTGCTTTCCAGCAATTTTGAGAAATCGAAGGAAAATTTCTCAGCAGCTGGGAGAAAACTAGTCTTTTGACTGCAGACAGCATCAGTTCTGTTTTATTTCTGAGTACTTAGAGATCGCTGCTGTTTAAATGCGCTTTGCATTAGTTGACTTTAGCGTTCATAGTTTGAAGTGGGTAACTACTGGTTGTGCTGTGTACTTAGAGCTATACGAGTATTTTTGTGAAAAGTTCCAGAATTGTAAAGCGTCTCTTTTGGAAGAATAAATTACATCAAGCTATCATAGGTTCTGTGAGCATTCAATCCATTATGAACCCATACGTATGTAAATAACTAAATCTTATTAACCCATTCAACATAAATGATTTCAAGTAACAAGTAAAATATACCATATTCCTCCCTCCCGAACACTTTAGCACTAGGTTCTAAAAATTTTAAAAATATTTATGCAATTTTTTCTCTTCCTTAGTGCATTCAAACAAGCTCGTCTAAATTTTAAAATAAATTTGCCTATATAGCGACTGTTTCCATTTTACTAACAAAGACAAATCCTTGACAAAATGACTACCTGCACGTCACGCCAAACCTTTCCATTCTAGCTGTTGAACTTTAAGACAGCCTAATACAAAAACAGACCCATTACAATGAAGCAAATATGAATTGACATTTAGTCTTAAGATTTCACAAAGTCAGCTGCACATTAAACTTCTCTAATTATTTATGGGAGATTTGTAGCAGAGACAACAATAAGAATGCCTGAGATTCAAGTTACAGAAGTAGAAATGAAGATACATTATCAGATATTGTTATGTATTCTTATTACAATGTAGGTTTCTTTTAAAGAAACATGATAGTTACCTGTAATTTATTCATGACTATTTTTCATTTATTATATTTTTACTGTAGTGTAACCCTTCGGAAATTAAATTATTCACATAATTTTCTTCTTTGGACGACAAAATTAGTAAAAGAAAACGGCGGGTGGGAATATGGAAGGAAATGCAGTATTCCCAAATAAAGAAATTCAGTTTTAATTATTTTTCAAAAATTCACAAACCAAATCAGTTCTAATATATCTTTATTTTTTAAGATTCTTACATATTACTTAAAACTACATAGCAACTGCTATCATGCTAGAAATGCCATTTCAGTATAATAATCATTCAAATCAATTTTAAAGTAATAAAATAATTTTGATAATGCACTTTGCCATCACCACAGTAGTTATTCATCAATTATATGTATATATATTCACGAGAAAAGATCAAAATTTTTATAATTGTAAATGAATTTTAAAATGGCAAGTGCACTATAATTTTTATACAGTATGAATGTAACAAAATCAGACATGAAAAGAAATACAAAGTATAGTATTTTTAAATATATGCGATTCTAACACAAAGCAGAGACCAAAGTCTATACAAAAGTTTTATAAACATGTTAAATATATTAGTAAGCAGTAAATTTTATCTGAGAAAGAAAAATATTAAACACATATCTAAGCATATATTTTGGCAGGATCATGATTAAAGGATATTTTTACACTATTATTTATAATTATAAACACATACAATTCATCAATAAAAGAAAAAAGGCTACTTAAAAACTTTCTTAGATAGCAAGGATTATTACATTAGCCATATAATCAGGACAAAATGAGGTAACAAACACGACTAGAATTTAAGTTTTAACAAGAACCAACAAAGAACTGGACAAATATTTTTTATCTAAAATATTCAGAATTAATAAGACTCCTCCAAAAATGTAATTTTATGACAAAGCTTAAACAGTACGTTTCATCTGATAAATTCAGTGGCTTGCAATTTTTTACACCACCTGACATCCACACTATAATTTTACTTTTAATATATAATTTTTAAAAATGTTCAGAAATGAGATATGAAAATCACTTTTATAATAATTAGCAAGTTATATGATTTCAAAGAACTCCTAAAAACCACTAATACATTTATCTAAATGTCAAATTGTTTATTCCCCATGCAAGCTTTACTATTGCTACATACATTCTTCCATTCACATAAGTAAAATTTAATATCAGAAACAACAATAAATATTTACATTTTCCTATTTTTGAAAATTACATAGCACTTAAGATTTTTCCAAAATAATTATTAAGAGAAGTGCTTATTTTACTTATTAGTTCAAACTCTATAATCAATAATATTATTACAAATAATACAATACAGTCAAAAGTCGTTAATTCGGACACCCATAATCTGGAATGATCTATAATCCGGCCCTCAAAGCTAAAAACTTTCTGCGCATGCGCCGCGTTGGCACATGCGTACAGGCATTTTACGCGTGCGCGCAAGACCTTGACTACTGCGCATATGCGTGTGCGCAAGTGCAGAATACGTTTTTGCCTGCGCGTTTAATGTATAATGGACGGTCTAAGCTAAAATTATCTATTTCAGTTAATGTTAATGATTGCGTTGTTCCTTAATCTTCGAATAGGATCCGGCTTATTATTTTTTGCAGACTCTAAGAGCAATTTTATAAAAGTAAACTTGAACTTTCGATTATGTCAAATAGAATTTCTGATGCTGGAACTTCCAAAGGATCTACAAAACGAAAGTATGTTTCGATGCCCAACAAACAAAAAGTGGAATTGCTGCAAAAAATGGATAAAGACATGAAGAATGTGACAGAGAGGTTAGTGAAAACGAAAAAATTTCGATTGACAAGTTAGTCGGTATTCTCGGCACAGCAATTAACGGGACTTGAATAGCGGAACTTTGTAATTGAACAAGAAATTATGTCTGTTTATAGAATTAAAGAGAAAGTATTAGCACATAAAAGAGCAACTTAAACAACTTACATTGAAAGAAATGTTTAATAAAATAAACAAATTTTTTTTTTTTTTTTTTGTAAATTTTGATATCTTTTACATCATAATTGCTCTTTATTTCATAAATTATGGTTTCATATTTTTAATTTTATAATTTCTGCATGCCATCTTATGAGATTTAAACTGATGATCTATAATCCGGAATCGCCGAAGTCCCGACGAGTCCGGATTAACGACTTTTGACTGTACTTTATAAATCAGATCACTTACAAAATACTTATTTTTCTCCAGTTTCAATGCAAACTTACTATATATTAATTTACATTTAAAATTCCAACAAAATCAAAAAGGACATAATTTTCAATTACATTTAAGGATAAGCAATATGCATGCTCACATATTTACATATACACCAACAAATGATATAAATTAAATTTTTCTTAAGGGGATGAAAAAAGCTCTTTTTCAGGTTAAAAATGCTAATTTATGAGCATATTCTCAGAAATCAAACCTAAAAAAAATTAAATGTTTATCATAATCAACTACTTTTAGGATATTTATTTTTAGCTATATTTTATTCTATTAGATCTCATTAAAACACATACTGTTAGTCTACTTAGCTTACAATCTGAAGATTTAAACGTGAAAATTTATGTTATATTTCAGCTGACCAATATAACAAGATTTATCCAAACAATGGACCAAAGAATTATTCAGAACATAAAGATGAATTAATAATTCCCTTTTATGCATCGATGAATGAAATTTGAAAGACTGTCTATGATTTTCGCAAAAACAAATAACATGTGAAATATCATGAAAAACACCAGAATTACTTTGTCTCTTGCTCAAAAGAGGAAAAAAGCATCATTTTTATGTCACTATTGGCATAAATTGGCGGCCTATGATCTTGTTCGTAGTTGACGAGTAAAATGATGAAAACTTTTAGTTTTAAAACAATTTCAGCACACTTGGCCTGACATCATGGATTTCATTATATATTCAGAGAATGTTAACAGTGAGAGGAGGCACAGGCTTGGGTCAATGTAGATAATTCTATTTCTATCATGTTTCTTTAAGATGATTAAGAAGATTTCTTTAAGATGGTGAAAAATAATCAAACATGATCTTGGAAAGGATGATAAGAAAGGAGAGGATAAAGATGATATACAGAACAAGAAAGTTACATGGAAAGTATACTGATGAAGGAATGCAGATTTGACATGATGACATTAAATGGGTAATTTTAAAATGCTCTTTAATTATTTTAAATATAAAATTATGTGTATAAATTATAATTTTGTACAACTTTCAATATTATTTATTTAAATTGCAATCGACAGATTTCACATACTGCAGTTACCACAGATAGCATTACAAAACATGAATAAGTACATTCTATAAACATGTATTCAATCATTCAGAAGAACCTCATATCCAGAACTGTCAAAGTTCTATTGCTGCAAATAAGAGATTCTACTTAATGAATTTTTCTAACAGATTTTATCATCCTTGAATAGCACAGATCAATTGCACAAATTTATAACTGGCATTACTTAGAGTCAGCTTCTCTAGGATGGCTGTCTCCACAGATCAAAATTGTTTAGAACTGCAGGTAGTTTTTTTAGAGACTATTTACTGTATGTGTGTGTGTGTAGATAGATATATATGTATTAGTAACACAAAAAATTATTTGAAATGATGAATCAACAATCGACTCAATCAATACAAAAAATAAATTCAAATTTATTTTTAAAAAGAAAATGCTCAAATTTTAATTTCAATTAATTAAAAGATTAAAATTTCTTTATTAACATTTTTAATGAATTAAAAACTTTGGCAAATATTTTGTCTTTTACGACTTTTTGGTGCTTCTGAAGATACTTAAAAATCCCAGTTTCTATCCTTGGCATTCTACAAGTATAATTAACAAACTTATTTTATGTAACAAAATCATATTTAGCAATTTCTTTTCAATCCATAAAAATGTTTGTTCTTTAAAAAAAAGAAAAAAAATTGAATGCATATATTTTCAGTGCAAAAAATACTTTATACAGGGTGACTGCTAATTCATGGCACAAACTTTGAGGACTGGTACAGGACACAATAACAATCACATTTTGTAAATTAATATCCACCTTGTAAAAAGGTTATGAAAATATAACAATTTCTCTATCTTTTGTTTTTTCCTGTGTTTGCGCTTCAACGCTTTATGTTTGACCATACATTCCTATACAAAATGTGATTGTTACAGTGTCCTGTACCAGCCCTCAAAGTCTGTACCATGAATTAGCAGCCAGCCTGTATAATAATAAAACATTTAAAATACATTTATACTATTTATTTAAGCCAATGAATATGCAATTTACATTATATATTTTCATTTAATTAGATGAATATTTTATAGCTTTAAAAATGTTCCCACTAAGCAAATTTAATTAACTTAATGAGCACTTTTTTAAATGGTAGGATTTATTTTTTATGAAATTATACAGCTTAGAATAGTATAAAAGCTCATAAAATGCTTTAAATATTTTATTATAAGATAAAAATTCAAACTTTCAACAAAAATGCAAAGTACATTTAAAAATTCCTTGCAAAGTACATGTTGTATGTATCAATACTGCATAATGTTGCATGCATGTATCAGTAAATACATGTGTAATGTTTGCTCAAAGAACTTCATTTCAAATCCGATAATTTGAAATTTAATGTCATATTTGTTTTAAAAAAATCTTAAAATAATAATTTTATTCAAGGGTATTAATTTAACAATAATAGCTTTGACACAAAATTTTGTTCTCTTATGTGCATAAAACTTAATTCACTTTGTTTCTGAACACTCCAATAACTTCACTTCTTAAAATTCATTCATGTCTTTAGAATATTAGCTTGTACTTAACCTCAGGAAGCAACTTAAAAATCAATAGTTACCATAATTAAATATACAAAATTACATACAGTGTTTTCACAATAAAGTTATTATTTATAATTTAGATTGTAGATTATTTTGTAGAAAGTATAAAGGAAATATCTTATTTGACTAGTTGTAATACAAACATAACAATAATAGATAACATTTTCTGAAACACAAGTCCCAAAATAATTATATAATTTCATGCTCCAATACAGAGGTAAAATAGATTTTAAAAAATATTAGAAAAATAAATGTTATGTTCTTTACATTCTTTATGAAACACCAGATCATCTATGTTTATGCTACATCAAGTAATTGTATAAGATACTTTGAGATGCACATGATTTAAAAATAAAAAAAAACTTAACTAATTTTGTTTAGTTATTTTAATTGCTGTACTACTATATATAAATACTGTACCAAACTGATAAATGATTTATTACTCATACTTCAGAATATTCCATAAATTTAGTAAATGAATGCAGAAATTTTTCATACTTTAAATATAACTGACCTGGATATGTATCGATGCTTTTAAGCAGTTTTACAGAACTTCATTACATTTCTGATTTTTCACTTGATTATAAGCCAATACTTAAAATAATTGCAAAGAATTTTAGTAATTTACTTCTTTAATAACTACAGTTTTCCTATCATTCATACAAAACACAACAGAATAATGACATCCAGTTCTAATTTGGTAAAAGGTTGGCCCTTTTACCACATTTAAATTAATATACCAGAACAAATACAATATGAAAAAACAAAAAATAATTTTTTGCCCGCAATCATGAGAATTATAATTACACAACACACGAACTTCAATAAAAACTACTTGATAAAATGATAGTAGGAAAATGGGAAAACAATTTAATCACAATTAAACAGATGGAACTAAACACTCATGATACTAGAAATCTCGCATGGTGCACGACAAGAAAGAAATTATAATTCAGATATAAACTTTGATTCCAATACAGGTTTCTACCGGTTAACAAAAAGAAGATATTCCTGTGAAAATTTTTGCATAGCATAAAGAAGTAATTACCAATTATTTGCAAAGATAAAAATCTTCTCTCCAACACCCCCTCAAAAAGGAAGGGGGGATTATATCGCATGATACCAAACACCATAACCTAAATCATCACTAAAATTATATGAAAAGCATATAGGCAGTATAATTTTCCCTTTCAAAATGCAAATGATAATGTACTAAGAAAAGTAGCAGCAATGACAATGATTTATGAAAGTGACAAAAGATTTTTAAGTCAGAGATAAAGGTAAGATGAAATAAGGTAGAAAGATGAAAAATCATCATCATTTGTACTCATCACGGCCATACATCTAATTTCTGTACTTGCCATCTTCAACGCTGAAAGTTGAGGCTTAGTAATGCTGTAATTGATGTTAAAAACTGAAGGCAGTTTGCTCAACTTCTATTCAGTTGAGAACATACACACAACCCCTCCCTACGAAAAATCTTTAAATCAGCCAGCTACTTCAAAATCAAAGACATATTTTTCTGCAGTCTTTGCATAAAACAAATACTGAATGATATTCTCTTTTTAATTTAATTTTTATTTACATATTTTTGCCAAAACTGAAAATCTTTAGTTTTCTTTTCTTAGCTAAAAAAATTACTAACCAAAAGCAAACTGCACAAGGCAAACATTTGTCTCACTGCAATGCAATATACAAGCATGTAATGCTAGTTAAATGGATTACCCCTGAAAATTTAGTTATGTTTTTAAATAACTTTCAAGGTTTCACAACGTAATAATGCTTCCTTTCTTACAACATTCCATCACTTTTTAAGCCTTTTTTTCAAAGGCTTTCCAATAAGTGCTCTATTTCAGCCTTTTTTTGCTGTTTTTCCTTGTAATCAGTTTTGCTTCATTTCAGTTTACAATACTATCGAATTTTCACCATTTGGGGCACAACAGAAAATTTGATTAGACGTATTGCCATTTGTTTTAGCCTTTTCCTCAGTACATTTTATATGTAGTTAATTTCAATTTAGACCAATTATCTTAGTTTTAATGATTTCTAATTTGTCAGTTTTAAGATCCATTAAAATACATTTGCCACAAAAGACAGGCATATTATAATAAAGGAAGAAGAATTAATATAAAACTTTCTTAAAAATACTTTATATATGCGGTTTGTATTCTAAAATAAAATTTCAAATGATTGAGAAGTATTGGTTCATGCTTATATCACTCAAACAATAAAATTTATTCTATAACGCTAAGTGATACTAGCATACTTGATATATAATTATATGCCTTTGAAATGTAACTTTTTACACAAATTTCTTTAATGAATATAACTATAATAAGGTTTTAGTCAGAAATACTCTCAAATAAATTTTACCACAAACAGTTCACAAAGTATAGCTCAAATATAAAAGAAAAATCTACAAATATAATTTGATATTTGAGACGTTCTAAGAAATTCTATAATAAAATACAATTGATACATTCATGACATAAATATATGTTTCATACACGAAAATAAAACAGAAAAAAAGCATGAGTATGGATCAACTACAAATGAAGCAGTGTTCTTACGAAAACCACTATATGCATTTCCACTTTTCTTTTCGAGTCACGAATCTTGGCTCGGACCATAAAATATTAGCTCTGGTATTTGACCACCTTGAACTCCAGTCCCGTTGGTGCTGTCAGATGAACACTGAAACTGGAAAGTGATGCAACCTACAGTCATCTCACTGACACCATCCTGGCCAAAGTAGCTTAATTCTGCTCCATCTAATACAGTAGATGCTGTATAATAAGTGTCTGCCTCTACAAGTATAGGATGCTCAAAATAAACATTAAAGGTATTGCTAGAGCCATCCGAGTAAAAATTTGTCTTATTTTCAGCTAAAACTTTTCCCATTCTTTTCAGCTCAATCTTCACTGAATAATCAGCAGCCCCATTACTAGATCCATATAATCCAAATCCAACTATAAAAATACGCTTATCCACAGAAAATTGAATGCTGTCACATCTTCCACGGTACCTCCACTGATTACTACGGTAAGCTGACGACTGAAAGCGGTGACAAACTTGTGTCTTCAGGCCAACTCGTGGCTTTATAGGAAAAGGCAAAGTAGGTTTATTATTTGCAGTATAATGCAAGAATATATCTTTTGTTTCCTGCAAGGTCAGTAACCCTGACTGAGCAGCACCATTTGCATATTCTTCAAGAGACATAGTAGGGATTCGTATTAAGTGCAGCGCATTACCCAAAACCCGTCTTTTATTTTCAGTTGTTGGTTCAAGATCTTGACGAATGCATTCAGCCATTGACCAGTTTAGTGCAGCCTGAAATAATGTGTACTCTTTTATCATCAGAGTTTCTCTAGATAAAATTGATTCAAGTGTACGATAATCTATGTCGGCAAAACCTTCTGAAGCAAATGCAAGTTCAGCCTGGGCATCAATTACTTCCCAACAACGCTGCATTAAATCTGGTTCTTCAAACAGACGGCTTTGACTTAACAATACACATGCATTTTTTGCTGTCAAGCTAGTCTCTAAATATGCAACACAAGCTCGAGCCAAGTGAGGCACTAAATATTTTTTTGCAACATATAACGTGGACAACACCGTATCTGCTTCCAAATTTATATCATCACAGTAAAGGAACCTAAAAAACAGGGGAGAAAAATTAACACATGTGAAGAAACTGACTAAACTATGAAGAACATTAAATGAGCATTTGTGTGATTTACATCAATTTTAAAAATGGATTTATTTTATATGCAAAACATTTTTTTAAGGACTACATGATTTCATTGTATAAATGACTGAAGTTTCTAACTTGAAGAAATCACACAAGTTTTATAAATATAAGGTACTTTTTATCTACCCCTCTCCCTAAAAAGTATTCTTAAGTATTACAAAAATTGTAGAAGTATATTCTACAATTAAATAGTAGAAAATGTACTAGGTCGCCAAGATATAGTGGTACAACAAAGGCCACACTTCCACCTTCAAATTCAATAGGATTATTTATTTTTGATGCACTAAATGTCTTTTTTTTTTAATGTAAGAAACTATAATGAGATTGTGGGGTTTCCCAGCTGACAAAAAAGAACCCAAAATAGTGTGTTTTGCATAACAGAAGAGAATGAAAAAACTTGCATTCTATGAAGTTGCACTCTGTAACTGATCAAATTTTATGGATCAAAGTTTGGGCAATTCTCTGATGTTTGCATAAGCAAAAACAGTATGCGTGGGAAAAGAGCAGCATGTACAATGCCAAATTTGTGAAATTCTCTTTTTTTTTAGTCCAAAGGGATTTCAGTCCCGAAAGACTATTGCTTTCGTTTTGGCATTTTGCGTCGGACTCATAAACGTCGGTTCACTTTTCAAACTGTTGCCACAAAATGTTAGTCCTTGCATTATTTGAAGAAATTAAATAATGAAAAATCTGCAATAATGATTGTCTATTTCTCGCATTGTGATAAAACAATGATACATAGAGCCATCGAATTTTGAATGACGAAATCCTACTACTGCGAATATGGGCATCTGAAATCCCCAAATTTGGAATTTGTTTTTTTAGATTTTATATTTTGTAAAACTTTAACGAATTTTTGATTTACAAACTCAATGCTTTAAAAGCGAGAAATGGCAACGTTATATAGAAAAAAAATACTTTTATCTCCAGCTCGCGAGACTGTGTATAATCGGAAATTCTAAAGATATGCTTAATTTAACATTATTTTGCGATATTGCTCTTGAACTGAATTTTTTTGGTTTAAGTGCAAAGAACATGATATTTAATAAATAAAGGTAACACTCAAAACGTTAAAAAAACGCCCCTTTGAACGTAATTTAAAATCTGAAAAATTTCAGTTTTTTTTTTTCTTTTTTTAAATGAAAACGGACCACAGTGTACATGAGAAGAACTGACAGTGTGTGCAGTGCAAATCTGTGAAAATGCCAAGATTTTGCAATTCTCTGGTTTTTTTAAATGGAGCCTACATGGAGAGAACAGTACAAATAGGAGGGGAACAGAATTCATTATGGATATTTGGGGTTTTTTTAATTTTGTTAATCTGTTGCTGTTGCATACAATTTGTAGTGTATAACCTTATCTGAAAATGGCTGTTGTCTTCTGCATCTTATCATAACAAAAAATAGTCACCTCTCGCACATGGGAAGTGGTGTAGCACCAGGCTGCCTGGGCCAAGGACCCTACCCCTTGTCAAACATGTAGATTGTTTTGAATGCTGTCATGAGTTACTAACACAAAATATAATTATTTTTTTAATTATTATAATTTTTTAGCAAAAGGAGAATGAGATAACTGGTAATTCTAGCAGAAATAAAGTGTGTGCCGAGTTCCAATAAAAACCTAAAAATACCATCTGAGGAAAACTGAGAAAGGGAAAACAAGTTGGCTTTAACCTGAGTCTAGAGACACATATAATACATACAATACATACATACATACAATACAGATAGTGCGAGTCAACTGGTGCACTTAAATTATAACATAAGTCACAAATGTACAATACAAGTAATGCATGTCAATTTAAATAATATGTGTACTAAGTATGGCCATAGGCCGTTTACAATTATTTGGGTCATTCGCATCATAATCGTAAACCCTTATAACAGGGTTGTTGATACTTGGAAGGTTAGCATAAAAATTCCGGGCAAGCCTACCATAAAAATATTTCGGTTGTTCAAGGCCTAATTCATCCTGAAGTTCTGATTTCGAACATACCAGGGCGAGTTGGTGATCTGTCTTAGAGCACAATTTTGTGCCTGCTGTAACTTTTTTCTACATGATTTACATGAATATGCCCAAACAGGGCAAGCATAGCATAGTATGAGACACAATACAGTTTTATAAATAAGCAACTTGTTATCTATTGAAAGTACACTGTTTCAAGAAATTAAGAGGTGAAGTGTAGCTTTACTAACTCAAAACTTTTTAAGAATAGATGTTCTGTGTGGGTACCATGAGAAAGTTTTACTGAGGATCACCCCAAGATAAAGGAAAAATAGTCACCTCGAAAGAGTGTGGGTGATCGGAAAGTACCAATTCTTTATTATAGTGCTTCCCAAATTTTTTACATCTGTGTAACCCCTTCAACAATTTTTGTAATACTGAATATCCCTCATTAAAAAAAAATCATATACTTTAATAAAATAAATCTAACAACAAACAAAAATTTTTTCCTTTTTTAATACACATACAAAATAAAAATAAATGAAAAATAAAATTCTTTCATAGTAAAGTACAAATAAAAGAAAATATAACTTATAAATATCATTTATTATAATCAATGATAAGGGCGAAATTGTTTATGTTCAGACAACAGATCATCATAATTTGGTTCCCTTATTGTTAATTTTAATCTGGGATGCAGCTCCACATAAAAAAATCTGTTCCCTTTTTTGGGGGGTGGGCTTACTGTCTACAAATGAAGAAAAAGCAACTTCACATAGATATGCAGTTGGAAAAAGCAAGATGTATTTCAGGACTTTCTCAATTAAAACTGGGTACACACATTGAATTTGCAACCACAATGATGTTAAAGTAAACTCATGTTTATTTTTCAAGAACCAGTCTGAAGCTAATTTCAAAAAATGCTCTTCTTCCACATGCGATTCCTTCTAGCATCGATGTTGTATTAACGTTGAATGGATATCTTATTTATTCAGTTATTTTTCTTTGAATCAGAAAATAATTTTTCTAGCCTACTTGTGAATTCTCTAAATGCTGTATTATACACTGCAGAGTATCAGCAACAGTCTTACCAGCCGAACTTGTTATAAACTCATAAAGAGAGCAAAAAGAGTCCACTTCACCCTTTACCAATTCTCTTTTGCCATGGTAGCATTCACTTTATCTTGAACATGAAATAAAGAACTTTCTTTGACTTGCAAAGATAAGTTGAGAGAATTTAAAACAGTGATTATATCTACTATGTATGCCAATTTAGAGCCATTTCCAGTCATGTAAACAGTTTCTAGCGTAGTTCAAATAACCAGTTTAGAATTTTCACTCAAGACAGCCAACAAAGATCGCTATGAAAAAGAACCGAGTATGACTACTTCCCATTTCTTCACTCATTTGTGAAAAAAGTCATGCATTCAGGCCTTTAATATAGTTAATGATTTTCATGCTTCACTCAGAACTTTCTGTGGACCAGTAGGCATCTAATGTGTTGCTAAAACCTCTCTGTATATGCAACAATGTGTAGATATGACATATGGGACAACATTCTGAATTCTTGCAAATAAGTCCTTTATTAATTCTGACCATACTTTTTGCTCTCTCAGTGCTTATTCCAATCCATCTATTCCAATGAATTTTATTTCTCTTGCATAAACTTATTCATAACATTAAAGATAACGTCTCCTGTTATATGACTTGATAAAGGTTGGCAAAATAAAAAGCTTTCATTGAATTTCATAATCCTTTTTCTTCTAACAGATGCCATTTGCAAAATTTGCAGTACCAGTAGATTCATTAACCTGTAATGCATAATGTTATATATTTCCTGTGCAATTTGGCTAGAGAGTGCTGTGTATGTTCCAATAGCCAGGCAGGATTTTAAAGGTGTATACCATGGAAGGCAGAAATGCCTAATAATATATTTTCAACTATTTGAATTTTTATTTTTTCTCGTAAATAAATTTAGTTGTTGTTTTTCGAAAGCCTCTTTGATGCACCTTTAGACAAACAGAACAATTAGATTCAACCAGCAATCCATAATCTTGAATGCTAGGGATAAAAATAAAAATTATATTTAATGTGAATTGTCAAATTCAATAGGGCTTACTAAAGGACATAACAAAACTTTCCTATTGCAAGAAATCGAAAAATACACAAGCGTGCATTGTAACAGTTCAGTGTGTAGGTATTGGAACTTTTTGTGTGACACTGTTAACAAGGCCATGGAGTATGGGAATGCACAGAATCACAGCACCCAGCGACGCCATGGCTACGCATGCATACAAAGCCACACATTAAAAATTGTGTGTGCTCGTCATTGTTTGCTAATATGGCAATCCCTCATCTTTCCTCCTGTCTTTTCTTTCATAAGCAACTCTTGCCACCACATTCTGGCATTTGTTTTTTCAGATGCATTTGTTCTTATTGGTTCATTCAGTTTTCGTGAGGTTCTTCAAATGAAAAATTCTGGTTTTGATATTGCCATGCATGTTTTCCACATGTTTTGAATGTCTCCAATTTGTTTAGCTGCTGCTGATGTCCGTGTTAATAAATTCCCACTCCCAAATTATTTCTTGTGTTTTTCATAGTTTGGGTTACCCTTCATTTCATTGTTTTTGCTTCAGCTATGCATATTTACCCAATGTTCTAAGCTTGGTGCAGGGAGTACCTCCCCTCCAAATTCTTCTCGTTCCCCAGGTGATATGCAAACTACACTTCTGGAAACACTTACTTATTACATACTTACATGTTGTATACTTTAATTAAATAAGATCAATTTCTACAGAAACTTTACTGCAATTTCTTTACAGGCAAACCTCACAAGCACATACTTTAAAATTGAGCTTAAGACAAATAATAACATGACCTAACAAATTGTTAGAGCTTGGAGTACAAGAAAAATGAATGAAAAAAGGGAAAATTTTTTATGTTAAACTCTAATGAATTAC